ATGTTAGTGGCACTGTGCACATGTTAGTGGCACTGTGCGCATGTTAGTGGCACTGTGCGCATGTTAGTGGCACTGTATGTGTACATGTTAGTGGCACTGTATGTGTACATGTTAGTGACACTGTGTGTGCACAAATTACTTGCCCTATTCTTCACAACACGAGGAAGCAGTGGGCCTATCAGAGTGAGCCACACAGCGCCTCGGGAATGGGAGGCCATCGATGCAAGGAATGGGGGAAGGGTAGCTTAAATTCCTTAAATCAAGACCCCTCCCCCTTTTTGCGATCATCAAGCATCCCCCTTCTTCCCCCTTGAGGAGTGCAGGTGAAGGGAGGGAGCGACTCATCCCCCGGACAGTGATGGCGGAGGAGCCACAATAAAGGCTGGCAGACAGAGAAACTTCATCACACACAGTAAACATTGACCTCATCCCAAGATTAGTCTCAGCACTATTAAGGGTCGTATGCTTTCCCCTACTTTCACTCCTCTCTTCCCTTCCCCATTCTTCTCATATTATATAAACTTCCTGCTCATCCCTTCTTTGTTCATATTTTTTTCTCTGTTCTCTCAATTCCTCTTATTTCTCTCCCTTCCTTCATTTTCCCTCTTTCCGTCCAGATAGCTTATAAACCTCTTACGGTCATTTCTCTCTCACTGTCTTTCCGGTGTTATCACACGCTTGCCAGTCAATTCATTGGTGGTTTTTTCCTCTTCTTTTTTTATTTGGTGGATTTAATTATAAATTACTTACACATTTTCGTCATTTAATTATGTTTTCCTGTTATGATTGTTGAAAGCCATGATTGTGTGTGTGTGTGTGTGTGTGTGTGTGTGTGTGTGTGTGTGTGTGTGTGTGTGTGTGTGTAACAAGATATCCAAAACTGTAGGTAAACAGAGGCACAGTTTTAAAAATACACATTTCAGGTCATAGCTAGTTAAAACTCGCATCTCATCTCACTGATGTCCTTTGATTCTTTCTAATTCCTCTGAGGATGTGCATGTAAGCGAATGAGACTGCTTGAACAAACTCTATTTCTATAAAATGAAATACAGCATATTACACAATAGGGGTGATTGGCATATATTACTACTTTATAGAAAGCTTCCTTGCTATGCGAAGCATTTCAGTACCTTGTGTGCGGCTTTCTTGTTCTTTCGCTAATACATCGAAAAGTAAAGGTTGGAACTACAGTCCATATGACTTGTACATAGTGATTTGCACCTGCGGATGTAAAAAAGAATACGGACATCCTAACGACGTTATACGATATATGCACACATTAAGAGCCAGTTAAAAGGTCCAAAACAAGCGAACCTTGTACATGGCGTTTACGATGAGACTGCAAGAAGTGTGTGGGAAGGAGGGAGGTAGAAGAATGAGACGGTAAGGGGAATGATGGGGAGAGGGAGAGACTGAGAGGAGGAGAATGAGTGGACAGTGAAAAGGGAGGGAGTATGAATGGAGAGTTAGAGAGGGAGAATGAGGGAAGTCAGAAGGGAGAATGAGTGAAGAGTGAGATGGAAGGGAGAATAAATAGAGAGAAGGGGGGGGGAAAGGATAGTGATGTGAGACAAGAGGAAGAATGAGTGAAGAGTGAGATGGGAGAATGAATGGAGAAAGAGACGGGGAGGGGGAGGAGGTAAGTGGGTATTGGTGTCCAACTGGAGGAAGGTAAATCATCCTCTGGAGCCAAATATGTTGAGTGTGAGAGCTCATCTGTTGGTATTAGCGCTCCTTCACCCCTCAGTCTCCCCTCATCCCTCCCTGGCTCACTCGTCTATCACCCCTGGACACACCCTGGCCCTCAACTAACTCCCTGCCATACCCCGTCCACCCATGAAATGCTTGATATATCCTCATCGCCCTGCTGAAGTCTCCCAGCTCGGGCTGACAGATTTCAGTACCTCGTATGAAGCCATCGTACATGGTGGAATATAACAGGGTAACACAGCTGGCTTTTGTAGAATAGAGTGGCAGCACAGTGCTAATATATCCAGTTATGTTTAAGAAAAGAGAAAAAGTCCTCCATAATCAACAAAAAGGCACAATACCGTGACTGGAACAATACACTGTATTCTCCCCACTGTCTACTACTGCTCTCCCCATTGTCTACTACTACTCTCCCCACTGTCTACTACTACTATCCCCATTGTCTACTACTACTCTCCCCACTGTCTACTACCACTACTACTTCTCTTTCTTCCTCTCTTGGTCTAGTCCCTCTCCCCCTCCCTGGCTCCCTCTGTGATAGTGTGACTTCGTAAATTGGTCCAAGTCGGACCGAAACGTCGTCGTAAGCTTCTCTCCTATGTGCGGGTTATTTATGTAATCCTGTGTAATACCCCCACCACTGCCTCGTCTCCTCCCTAAAGACTAGTGGATCTTCACTTCTAGTAATGATCTTACCTGTGAAAAAAAAGACAGATGAAATGCAAGCCTTGACAACATTTCACTCTGTGAAGAGCTTTATCAAGTACTCGACCTCAACGAATCTTTACTCAGTAATAAACGTTGTCACAATGAAAGCTTATTCTGTACCTGTTTCTTTTCTTCATTAACTGTGAGTTGTACGCTGCTGCATCCAGTTACCTCAAATCTCTTACTTTTTACTACAAAGTATTACAAAAATGCGGATTCATTGCCTTTCAAAGTATTTCTAAGGCATATAAAAGCAATTCCTTAATTAATTTTACTCATAAATTATATCTAATGCTATATACATATATATATATATATATATATATATATATATATATATATATATATATATATATATATATATATATATATATATATATTTAACATATATATATCTGTTTACTGTTATCTTATTATATATCTGTTACTGTTATCTTATTGCATATATATACCAAAATAAGAATTGGGTTTCTGTATTACTAACTAAAATCTCATACCTTTAGCTATATGGCCCATTCGTTTTTTAGCTCTTGTTTAGAATATAGTAGTAGTAGTAGTAGTAGTTATATTGTGATTCAACTTTGCAATGGCGTTAGGTTTAACTTGTAACAACCAGCTTAACGCCTTGATAAGTTCTGACTGTGTCATCATTAAAGATTTTGGACTCGTTTGACTAATAAAACTTACGCTGCTTAAATAGGTTATGTTTAGATATACGAAAGTCAGCGAAAATGACCTATTTCCTACTACGAATTTTGTCTTGCATAGGCTTCTTTCTGCATGATAATGTTGATAAGTTAAAGTACATTTAACCACGAGAGATGGTGTGAGCCCCCTATCACCTGTGGGACCCACACCATCACTAGTGGGCCCCACATCGTCACTAGTGGGCCCCACATCATCACTAGTGGCCTCCACACCATCGCTAGTGGGCCTCACACCATCACCAGTGGACCCACACCTCCAGCTGCTGGTACAATAGCTACTTCTCCGGTTGTTTTATTTTGTGAAGAGTCTTTATGGAGCGTTTTACGTGTGGCGCCCTCGTCTGCCTCAGTGTTGATGCTTCCAACCTGCTGCTGCTATTGCTGCTGATCCTGTTCCTCCTGCTGCTGCTGGGGCTCCAGTAGTTGATGATACTATTGCTGTTGATGCTAAGTAATGCTGCTGTTATTGCTAAGTAATGCTGCTGTTATTGCTACTATTCCTGCTGCTGATGTTGCTCATGTTGTCGTTGTTGCTGTTACTGCTGATCTTCCTGTTGCCTGTGCTGTTACTGCTAGTATGTTGACAACAAGTGGAGGGCGGTGCCACCACCACATCTTACCCTCACAAGAGTTTACCGAATCATATATAAAAAGAAAAGCAGAAATACCATGCATAGACCCCTCCCTATGAAGGGAGGATTTAAATATAGATTAAATGGGATTAACGTGTGCAGTGGAGAGATGAGTCGCGGATGAGTGACTTGAGAGAAATGAATAAAAGAGTAACAATGGGTTTTAAGAGGATGAGTTACTTCCGCTCGTGTGCTGGTTATATGTTTTTTTCTTCTCTCGCAGCTCATACGTCCACACTGGAACATTATTCATTCAGTGGCAAGGTCCAGCTGGGATGAGGGATGGGGGTGTGGGGATTACGTGAGGGCGAGGGTAGGGAAGAGGGAGGGAAGGTGGGAGAGAGATTGGAAGTGTAGGGAATAGAGAGGGTGAGGAGTTGGTGGTAGAGAGACAGACAGAAGGGAAGAATATGTTGACGGGGCTATATCTTCCTTACTTAATGTGAATAGTGTAAAAGTAGATGTTTGTGATAATTTATGTAGGTAGATTGTGTGTGTGTGTGTGTGTGTGTGTGTGTGTGTGTGTGTGTGTGTGTGTGTGTGTGTGTGTGTGTGTGTGTGTGTGTGTGTGTGTGTGTGTGTGTGTGTGTGTGTAATCTGACTCTCCAACACCCCCAAACAACTTCACCACCTAACCTCTGGCTCCCACATGCTGTAACCCCACCAACCTTACCCTTCATTCCTCATCCAGTTACTACCTCTTTATATAACGAGGTTAGTGCCATTATATATTCTTAGGCATATAATAACTCTGTCTTATCTGCTAATATTCTCTCTCTCTCTTCCTCTGTCTCTCTTTTTGTCTCTCTCACCTCTACATTTATACTATGCATCCAAATTCCTCTTCCTCTTACTCATCTCCCTCTCCTCTGTCACCTATGTATATTTTTTCTTGCCCAGCTATGGATTGATCTTGATATCTTCATAAAAGTTCCATTTATCCCCTTCATGGAATAGATTATCCTAAGAAGCGGCAATTCCCAAGTGAAAATAATTCCAGCTGTGCTATAATGAAGTTAATGAACCTTTCATTATAATTATTTTAAGGTATTTTCGATGCCCTTCTAGTCTCCTAGCTCAAGCTTATATTTTTTATCATGTAACCCATCCTGTGTCATGGTATATGACAAGGAAACATAGCTAGCTCTTGTTCCCGCTATTTGTAACTACCACGTGGTTACATACAGTTGTACACAGTCCCCCCCCCTCCACCATCATTAACAGCCTGGTATGTGTGTTTCAGCCGGCGGCAACATCAGACCGAGGTCCATGTCTGGGATGACGATGGACATCTTCGAAACTCACCAAGGTACTCACATCCTCCAGTCCCTCGACGGCTTCGCCTTCACCCTGGCCGCCGACGGGAGATTCCTTTACATCTCGGAGACCGTCTCTATATACCTAGGTCTCTCACAGGTGAGTCTATACCTTAGTGTCTCTCTCACAGGGGAGTCCATACCTTGTTCTCTCTCAGGTAAGATCCCCTCTATATACGTACAGTCTATACAGCCGCATAGAAGTGTTTACAAAAGGATGAATAAAATACACAAACAGTTTAATGAGCTTCGCTGAGGAGCTGGGAGAATCCACAATGTCAATATCTGTTCATATGACCTTTTACTTTCATAACCTTTATTTTAATCCTTTCCATTTGGTACCCCATCGACGGCATATGTTCATTTTTTATTTTTATTTTACACCAAAGATTTGCTTTTGCAGAGACCATAGTTCTCTCACAGACGAGTGTGTGTGCCTCAGTCTCGGTGGTTGGTCCTGCTGCTGCTGCTCTCTATTCTATGGTCTTCAGTAGAGAGAGGGAGTAGCAGCAGCAAGAAAAAAAATACAATATTTAACTTAAAGCAGATCTGTGTACCTAGGTAAAAAAAATTGTATGACTTTGCTCAGTCTTTCCCTTATTTGTGATTTTTGTATTGTTAATTGTTATTAATTGTTGTTATAATGTGCATTTCTGCGCAATATAACAGCAGATGCGCATGTGTAAGTGTATATACATATAATATATATATATATATTATATATATATTATATATATATAATATATATATATATATATATATATATATATATATATATATATATATATATATATATATATATATATATATAATGTTCACATATATAGACCTTTGTGCGTATAAATACATATAATCGCTCTTTAGTTTTGGAGAATCGTTTGAAAAAATTAATCGGGTGAATAATTAATACAAATACTGAAACAGAATTAAAAAAAAATAATGAAACTTTATTTGAGATTAGTAAACCCCAAAGGGATATACTAACTCTGAATAACCCCCGAGAAACCTCGTCAAAACGGCGTTTCAGTTCTTCCTTGTCAAATCCTCCGGCCTTCTCTACTTTCCTCACCCCAGCTGTGACTTGACAATGGTCCAGAGACTGAAAGGTCGTTATAAACTTCCTCTCCTAAAATCGGATGGTTGGTGAATTGTTCTAGCCACGGTATCGTGACTCTTTTTAATCTTACGTTCTAGATTTTTTTTCTCCACTACATATTCTTGACACTTCGCCTACTTCCTCCCTCTCATAAATTGGTCTGTCTCTTCTTAGACTCTGATTCTAAACACGTGTTGTAAACACTGGTGTCCACCAGCGTCACCACCACTACTATCCACCACCACCACTACTATCCACCACCACCACTTCTATCCACCACCACCACTACCACTATTCACCACCACCACTACCACTATTCACCATCACTACCACTATCCACCGCCACTACTATCCACCACCACCACTACTATCCACCACCACCACTACTATCCACCACCACCACTACCCACCACAACTTCTATCCACCATCACTACCACTATCCACCACCACCACTATCCACCATCACTACCACTATCCACCACTACCACTATCCACCACTACCACTATCCACCACCACTATCCACCACCACCACTATCCACCAAAACCACTACCACTATCCACCATCACCACCACTATCCACCACCACCACCACTATCCACCACCACCACCACTATCCACCACCACCACCACTATCCACCACCACCACTATCCACCACCACCACCACTATCCACCACCACCACTATCCACCACCACCACCATCCACCACCACCACCACTATCCACCACCACCACTATCCACCACCACCACTATCCACAACCACCACCGCTTTCCACCACCACCACAACCCTCCACCAACATGCACAAAAGCAACCCACCTTTTCTATTACCTTCCCACCTATTATGACAACAAGCATTCGCCCACCACCAGCTGCCCCTCTACCACCTATCACCATCTACCCCTCACCACCACCTACCACCATCTACCAATCACCACCACCTACCACTTATCACCACCATCCATTAATTTAGTACCACCATTTGCCACCACCACTCACCCACCACCAGCACCATTACTCACCCAACACCACCATTCACCCATCACCACCACTCCCCACCATCCCCACCACTCACCCACCATCACCACACTCCCCCACCATCACCACCACTCACCCCCACACCCCCTCCCCACCCCCACTACAATCCCCAAAACCACAATTACCCATCACCACCATTCACCATCACCAACCCCCACCATTCCCCAAATCAAACCCCCTTCCCCCTCCACCACCCCCCTCCATTCACCCATCACCCCCCCCCATTCCCCCAAAACCCCTACACCACCATTACCTAAACCACCACCCCACCCCCACTCACCCACCCCCATCACCACCATCACCCACCCACCCCCACCCCCACCCCCTAAAACCACCCCCACACTCAACCACCCCCACCACCCCCACTCACCCACCACCACCCCCATCCCCACCCCACACTCCCCACTCACCCCCCCACCCCCTACCACTCACCCACCACCCCATCCCCTCCCCCACCATCCCCATCACACCGCCCCCCCACCACCGCTCACCCACCCCCCCACACCCCGCTCACCACCACCACCACTCAACCCCCACCACCGTTCGCATTGGGGGCCCACCTACTTGGATGCCAACCACGACCAAACACTAGGGCCGCACCGGTTCGATACTAGGCGAGGGAGACCCCTCAAACCCAGCACCCAGTGGTGTGAGGGAGACTCCTCCATACCAGCAGCAATGGTGTGAGGGACTCTCCAGCACCAGCAGGAGGGAGTAGAGACTCCACCACCAGCAGGATGACCAGGAGACCTCCACCAACCACCAGCAGGATGAGCTGAGGGAACTCCCAACCCCAGCAGAGTATCAGGAACCCCACACCGCTTTCTCCACCACACACCCGCCAGCAATGGATAAGAGCCCAACCCACCTGTGTATAGGGACTCCTCACACCAGATTATGGAGTAAAGTTTCCCCACACCAGCAGGATGCCTAGACGACCCCTCCTCCCCCACCACAGTACGTGAGGGAGACTCCATCACCACCACTAGATGATGAGGGCTCCCACACCATTAAGGGGTGAGGTGAGCCCCTTTCCTCCCACCACCAGCAGGAGGACAGTGAGGGAGTACTCCCCAACACCACAAATTGGAGTGAGGGACACTCCTCCAACCCCCAGCAGGTACACGATCAGGGACACTCTCCCAACACCACCAGAGTGGATCAGGAGACCCTCAACACCACAGGAGTGAGTAACACCCCAAAACCACAATTGACGAGATCCCCACCACAGCGGATGGAGCTAGGGACCACCACTCCTTCACCATCACCAGCAGATTGGAGTCCACCCAAACCACCACCCAAGTGGAGTGAGCAGTCCCCAAATCACCACCAGATTGGAGATAAACCCTCCAACACCACGAGTGAGTAGGAACCCCACACCACCAGCGGGTCAGCTGACAGACCACCACCACCAGCAGGACTGGATGAAGCCACCACACCAGCAAGTGGAGGAGGGACCACCCTCAACCCAGCCAAGGACCATACACTCACCCAACACCACTAGCATGGAGTCGAAACCTCTCCACTCACCACAGGATGAGTGAGCGGAGCCCTCCCCAACCCACAGGAGTACCGTGAGGAGACTCCCCCAAACCCACCACCACAAGTTCGATTGCGGCTCCCTAACTTGGAGTGAGGAACCACGACCAACACCACAGCGATATAGGGTGAGGGAGCCCTCCTCCAACACCAGCAGGAGTGGAGTGAGGAGACTCCTCCAATACCAGCAGAGGGGAGTGAGGGAGACTCCTCCAAGCACCAGCAGGAGTGGAGTGAGGGAGGACTCCTCCAACACCAGCAGGAGTGGAGTGAGGGAGACTCCTCCAACACCAGCAGGAGTGGAGTGAGGGAGACTCCTCCAACACCAGCAGGAGTGGAGTGAGGGAGGACTCCTCCAACACCAGCAGGAGTGGAGTGAGGGAGACTCCTCCAACACCAGCAGGAGTGGAGTGAGGGAGACTCCTCCAACACCAGCAGGAGTGGAGTGAGGGAGACTCCTCCAACACCAGCAGGAGTGGAGTGAGGGAGACTCCTCCAACACCAGCAGGGTGGAGTGAGGGAGACTCCTCCAACACCAGCAGGAGTGGAGTGAGGGAGACTCCTCCAACACCAGCAGGAGTGGAGTGAGGGAGACTCCTCCAACACCAGCAGGAGTGGAGTGAGGGAGACTCCTCCAACACCAGCAGGAGTGGAGTGAGGGAGGACTCCTCCAACACCAGCAGGAGTGGAGTGAGGGAGACTCTCACACAGCAGGAGTGGAGTGGGGGAAAGACTCCTCCAACACCAGCAGGAGTGGAGTGAGGGAGACTCCTCCAACACCAGCAGGAGTGGAGTGAGGGAGACTCCTCCAACACCAGCAGGAGTGGAGTGAGGGAGACTCCTCCAACACCAGCAGGAGTGGAGTGAGGGAGACTCCTCCAACACCAGCAGGAGTGGAGTGAGGGAGACTCCTCCAACACCAGCAGGAGTGGAGTGAGGGAGACTCCTCCAACACCAGCAGGAGTGGAGTGAGGGAGACTCCTCCAACACCAGCGGGAAAGTGGAGTGAGGGAGACTCCTCCAACACCAGCAGGAGTGGAGTGAGGGAGACTCCTCCAACACCCAGCAGGAGTGGAGTGAGGGAGACTCCTCCAACACCAGCAGGAGTGGAGTGAGGGAGGACTCCTCCAACACCAGCAGGAGTGGAGTGAGGGAGACTCCTCCAACACCAGCAGGAGTGGAGTGAGGGAGACTCCTCCAACACCAGCAGGAGTGGGTGAGGGGAGACTCCTCCAACACCAGCAGGAGTGGAGTGAGGGAGACTCCTCCAACACCAGCAGGAGTGGAGTGAGGGAGACTCCTCCAAACACCAGCAGGAGTGGAGTGAGGGAGACTCCTCCAACACCAGCAGGAGTGGAGTGAGGGAGACTCCTCCAACACCAGCAGGAGTGGAGTGAGGGAGACTCCTCCAACACCAGCAGGAGTGGA